GGCGCCACAGCGCCACATCCGTATTGTCGCTCCACCGTCGCAGAGCACGCTTCCACTGGCGGTAGTGCGTCCAGCCGGGCCACGCTGGTGGGTCGGTGAAGTCGCCCCTCGTGCTGGGCTGGCTCCAGCCGCTATGCCACCAGCTGCTGCTCCAGTCCTGGCTAGAGCCCCAGCCGCCGGCCCACTCGGAGCCGCCAGCTGCCCAGCCGCTCTTGCCCCGGTCGCCGTCCTTGTGGCCGCTGGTCTCGCCCGTCGCCGCCGCCTCGGCAGCCGCCGTCCCCGAGCTCCCTCGCGCCTGGTCGTTCCCGCTCCACGGGTCGCCCTGCGCCGAGTGCCAGGGATCCTCGCCAGCTCCGCCTGCGGCCGCCGTAGCTCTTCGAGCGTGGTCGTTCCAGCCGCTCCAGCTGTCCGTGCTCTGCCCCGTAGTCGTGCCGGCCCGCACCGCTGACATAGTCCGATCCACTATGTCCTGGGCGAGGGCCTTCCACTGCTCCTGCGTCATGGTGATGGGAGTGGCACCTGGCGCCGCGCCACTGGCGCTCCCCCCGCCTGATGCCTCCATCACCTTCGTCTTCTCCTGCTCGTCCCCTGTTGTCCCGTCTAGGGACGACATGCCGTGGATCCCCTCACGCACCCAGCGCTCAGAGCGCAGCCGGGGCGAGGGCTCGCAAGCGACGGGACAGCTCACCGGAAAGGCTGCTGCCCGGCACCCATGGCCTCTCGCCCGGACCGCGCTCCGCTACCAACTGTGGCAGCAGGAGGATTGGGCAATGTTTTCCCTTGAGCCAAAGCATTAGGCAAATCACGGATACACACCTGCTGTGCTACACAAGTGCTGAACCTAGTCTGACAAATGTGCTATCCCATCACATGTGTATCGTCGCCACACGTGTAGAAATTGTGTACGTCTCGGGGACGTTTGTCAGCGCACCTCTGCAGGGAGGACACGGAGAGCACAGCACCACAAAACAGCACCTGCATGAAGTAACCCTGAGAACACTGCCAGCGAAATCAAAGCAAGGGAGTAAGTCAGACCGGTCTCGCCCGCTCCTCCCAGGTGAGATGAAGACACAGACCAGGAGAGAGGAGGAGGAGGAGGAGGAGGAGGAGGAAAAGGAGGAGCCTACACGAGGGCCCGAAAACTGAATGTGGCGTTCTCACCTCTGCGGGCTTCCGCCGGCCCACGACGGCGTTAGGGGCCTCCAAGGCAGCCTCCAGACGGCCCAAGTAATCCCCAAGACGGCCCAAAATGACTTCAACATGGCCCAAGAGGGCTTCAAGAGGGCGGCGGGCTCAATGTGACCCCAATATGACCACAATATAGCGCAAGAGGGCTCCAAGACGGCCCGAAGTCAGCCCAGGGAGGCGCCCAAGACGACTCTAAAGGGCCGCCAGAGGACCCCAAGACGGCCCAGAGAGGCCCCCAAGACAAACTCCGAAAGCGAAAGAAGCCCTCATGAAGCCCCGAGAGGCCCCCAAGACGCCCCCGAAAGGCCCGAGGAGGCTTCCAAGAGGCCCCCTAAGAGATCCACCAGCGAGAAAGAGGGAATAACATGAAGGGCGGGAGCGGGAGACATCCCGACACGAGGAGGAACAGCGTGTCACATATTACGTTTCTCTCTTTCTCTCTCTCTCTCTCTCTCTCTCTCTCTCTCTCTCTCTCTCTCTCTCTCTCTCTCATGGCTGAGGACGAAAAGGTCCTACTCCAACTGATCCTTCTCCTACGCCTCCGCCTCCGCCTCCGCCGCCGCCTCCGCCTCCTCCTCCCGCTCCAATCTTCCTCCTCCTCCTCCTCCTACTCCTCCTCCTCCCCCTCCTCCCCTCCTCCTCACCATCCTCCTCTTCTTCCTCCTCCTCCTCCTCCGCCTCCGCCGCCTCTTCCTCCTCCGCCTCCTCCTCCTGCTCCTCCTCCTCATCATCCCCCTCCTCCTGCTCCACCACCACCTCTTCCTCCTCCTCCTCCTCCTCCTCCTCCTCCCTATCCTCCCTATTATTATCTTCCTCCTCCTCCTCCTCTTCCTCCTCCTTGTCCTCATCCTAGGACCGACAACGTGTGACATGCGTCGGCCTTCGTCTTCTTCAGTAGCATCATCATCATCATCATCAGCATCATCATCCTCATCATCATCATCATCATCATCACCATCAGGATCATCAGCATCATCGTCATCATCATCATAATAATCAGCAGCAGCAGCATCAATATCATGATGGTGTCCGTTTCGACCCACCCCTGGAATGTTTTGCTGAGGAGGCGAAAAGTACAATAAAATTGCTTCAAGGCTTGCTAAACTCAGTTTGCCGCCGAGCTCGGCTCGGCGGGGGACGGTGGGGGGGTCGCGATAATCTGTACCAGATTGGAGCCATATGGTACGGTTGCGGAGCAGGCCGTGCCGCATACGCGAGGGCAGGGGGGCCTTCACGGGCAACCAAAACACAACCTACCGAGCCCACCCGTTTTGGAGGGCCGAGGGGAGCCAGGCCGGGAACGAGGCCCACCGGCGAAAAGGCCCCCCAACAAGCTGGCACGCCCCTGCGGGCTCCGAGGCTCCAAGGAAAATTCCACGATCCCACCCCAAACTGTCGGTGCACATCAACACTCATGCTCTACGATTATTATCCCATGATGGTGTCCGTTTCGACCCACCCCTGGAATGTTTTGCTGAGGAGGCGAGAAGTACAATAAAATTGCTTCAAGGCTTGCTAAACTCAGTTTGCCGCCGAGCTCTTCCCACCTCCGCTTGCGAGCTGTATGTGTCTCAACAGCTTGCTCCTTCACCCGGGGCACAAAATGTGCTCGGACCTTGATGAGTTGAGAAGGAACCTGGAACACAATCAAAATTGAAAGCAAGCCCCCCAGGCCCGCCCTCGCAGTGTGCACCAGAAAACTCCTAAATCTTCGGTGACCACCCTAGACTCCGAACAAAACGAGCTGCAAAACACTCTTAACTGCCATATATACAGCACGAAGTAGCCTACGGGCAATGTTGATCCAGGCACCTGGGAGCCTGGCAACTTGAATTTCACGATCAGTCATGGACATGTAGCGTATCTCGGGGAGTGGGAGCCCCTCCAGGGTGGAGTTTATGTGCGCCACGACTGTATCTCTCTCTGAGCTGATGTCGCAGTCGAGGCTGCTCCAGACTGGGTTGCTCCACTGGACCTTGAAGTTTACGATCCGCTCGACCATGTGGACTCCGTAGAACCCGGACGGCAGCAGGTCAAGTGTCATGTGCAGCTCGCGGTATTGACTTGGCCAGATCATCATCTGCCATCTCTCTGACATGTGAGGTATGTTCACCGAAGCTTCAGAGATCGCGGTGGTGACCTGCTCGGCTCCTGGCGGGCGAGGCTCGCCCGTCAGGAACTCGCGCTCGATCCAGGCTTGCGGGATCTCGGGGTCGTCCGCTAGCCGCTCGGCGTGGCGCTGGCGGACGTGCAGGTTGGTAATGTCGACCCCGCGCCAGGCTTCCTGCAGGAGGCTCGCCGAGCTGCGGGACGATGTCACGGCGAAGTCGGACACGCCCTGCGCTGCCGCGATGACTGCCCCGAGGCTGCTGTCGACCACTTTGCCAGCCGAGACTGATACGCTGGCCACGACACCCATCATGGTCCCAAGGTGGGCGAGTGGCCCGGCCATGTAGCTCCACCCGATCAGCATCGCGGCGACCGCCGCCCACGTCACTCCCCGAGTAGTCGAGCGTCCGCACCACCTTGCGATGAGCCAGGCCGCGCGCAACAGCGACCAGCTGCTCCAGCGCGCGCGCCTTTGCCCCGCGGCCGCGCCCGCTGCTAGCGGCTGCGCCACCAGCGGCTGCGGGGGCCTCAGTGCCGCCACGCCTGGGGCCGCCGGCGCTGGCGCCTCGGCCTCGGCCGCGCCCGCGCCCGCCGCTGCATCCCCCGGCTGCTGCGGACCCGCCAGCAGCCCATCCACCAGGGCGCCCAGTGCTGGCGCAGGCGACTGGGCTGGGGCCCGCGGCGCTGGCGAGGCCCCCCGGCGGCCCCCCGCCAGCGGCGCTGGAGGGACTCCCTCTGTCGGCAGCACCCAGGCGCCGTCCTGGCCCTTGCGCCAACCCGCTGGCGGCATGCTGGAGGCCCTCCCCCTCGCCGAAGATGCCCTCCGGGAAGTAGTAGGGCAGCTTCTCGGCCGTCTCGCGGATGAGCGGTGCGATACCTCGCTGCTCAGCCTGCACCAGGACCCGGGAGGCGGTGACGACGTCCACGTAGATGCGGAGGCTGGACTCGGTGAGCCCCCGTCCTGCCTCCTTGATGTCCTGGAAGGGGACACCACGAGCCACGGAATCGCTGGCGAAACTTGGCGCGCCGAGTGTGGCGTCCTGTGGATGTCGAGGCCCAGGGCTGCTTCAAACTGCTCGAGCCGATGCCTGTAGTCGACAAGCGAGTAAGGAAGGAGGAGCCCCTCGGGCGGCGTTCCCAAGACTACTCGGTGCAAGAGGTTCTCCAGTACTCCGCCCTGCTCCCGAATAATGGCGAACTGCATCCTCTTGGCCTTTGTCCCCGACTTGGCTCCCAAGTGGATAACCCAATTTGGCTGCAAATCATGTCCCCCTCTTGACGATGGCAAGGATATGTCTTTTGCTCTGAGCTGAAGCATCTCCGACGGGCGCAGGCCGCGGTCCACCTGCAGTAGCAAGCCTACGCCCAGCCGCGGCACGCCCCAGCAGGAGAAATAGATAGCGGCCATGTTGGCCGGCGCGCGGCCGAGCGGCGGCGTGTGCTTCACCTCGGCCGACACTCGCCATGCGTCAGTCACCGAGTGGGGCCAAGTCAGCTTCCTCCTCAGGCGTGGGAAGACAAACTCCACTGCCACGACAGCGTACTCGAAACTGCACTTGGTCATCTGCATGTCGTTCTTGTATTCGACAAGCAGGTCGTCCCACTGCTTGGGCCCGTCGGGGACAACACCGTGCTCGTCCAGGTAGGTCACGAACTTCATAGCCGCCGCCCTGTAGGCTGCCAGGGTGTGCGGCTTTACCTTCTCAACAGAAGTGCTGTTCCGCTTCCTCGGCCCCGACATGAGGTAGGCCGCGGAGCTCAGCACGAGTCAGGCACCTCGATATCTTATCAGCAGGCTGCCTGAGCGTCTCCACCCAAGGAATCAGAATCTTTGTACGAGATGCCATCCCTGCTGCGGTCTTCTGACGCAACAGGTGGTTCAACATGTGCGCCGGGGACCTCCCCTTGCATACCGCACCTGAGACTGGCTGGTTGTCCTCCAGGATCGGCAGCACGGTGCGGTGTAAAGCAGGAGTGGCGGCCGCCAGTCTGCTGATCTTCACGACGCAGCGCCCCTCGCCCAGCGTGATGTGGTCGGCCGCCCGCCACCTCCCCGCTCCTACGATCGTCCAGTCCTCGTCGGGCTTGAACACTCGATCGGGGAGGATTCTGAAGGGCTTCGTCCGACGGATGACCTGCTCGGGACGCCGCAATCCAGTAAGCTCGCCGTCCAGTCGCGCCACGGTGTAGCCCAAGTTGCCGCCCGTGTCGATGAAGTCCTTCGCGATGTCCTCGCTCATGTCTGTCACCAAGATGCCCCAACCGCCGTCGTCCTCCACGTTGGCGCCCATGGCGTCCGCCGCGAAATACACGGGGGCTGGCGGGGCTCCCAGGTCGGCGTACATCAGTGGGACTACTCGAGCCATAGCCCGCAGCTCCCTGCGGACGGTCGCCCAGGTGCACACCCTCTGGTGCGGGTGCCTCTCCAGGAGCCTGAAGACGGCGCTGGGTATGCAGAGCAGCTCCCTCCGAAGTAGTGCGCCCCAGATCCACACCCCCAGGAGGGACCGAAGCTCCTCGGTGTGGAGGGAGCGGGTGGCGCCCATCGCCTCCAGCTGCTGCACCAGCTCCCGCGCCCTCTTCGGGGGCAAGCGTAGCTGCGCCGGACGCGCCTGTGGTGCGTAGCCCAGCACCTTCTGCATGTCGCTGGCCTCCGTGCGGTCGGTGACCACGAAGCCGGCCTCGGCCAGGGCATCCGCCAGCTGGTGCATCTTCCCAGAGGCCCGTGGGCCACAGCCGCTGCCACCGGCCATCACCACCCCGTCGTCGACGCGTAGGTAGAAGGCCATCAGCGGCCCATCCAGCACCAACCCCCGACCGCGAAGCACATCCTCGTTCCGCACGGCTACCGCTGGCGTCGTAGTGCTCCGCGAGCTCCAGGCGGTGACCGACCTGTCGGCCTCCGGCGGCCTTCGCCACCCGGTGCCGCCCAAGCCGGTCTGCTCGAAGATGGCCAGGGTCTGAACAATCAAGGAGCCCAGCGTTTCGCACATCTTCTCGGGGTACTGGGCCAGCGGGCTCGCGCGGAAGGTGCCGTCGGCCAGCTTGCCCTCGGCCGTCTCGTGGGCATGGGACCCGTCACACCGCAGCTCGTTCAGGTCCTCCAGCCCCTGCAGCGCGCCGCTCAGGCACGTGGGCTTCTTCGTCCGTCCGCCCAACATGCATTGGTCCAAGCAGGCTCTCCGCGACGAGCGCCTCGTCTCGAAATCCAGCATCTCAGTCGTGTTCCAGATGGATGGGTAGGGCGCATGCCCTGGGCCCTCCGGGTGCTCGATGAGGAAGGCGCCGCCACTCTGGCCGCACGCCTCGCAGAGCGCCAACAAGTTCAGCGTCAAGGTGTTACTCTCCGCGACTCTGGCGGCCTCCCAGTCCCTGAGGCCGGGCAGCCCCCAGGGGCACCGCCGCGAGCGCACCGGCGGCGGACCAGGTCGGCGACGATTGTAGCGTGCCCGCGACCAGGTTGAACAGGGCGGACCGCCCAGTACGATATCCACCCAGCCGCCCTCGCACAGCTCCATCAAGGAGGAGAACGTGGAGGGGTTGGCCAGGTCCCACCGCGGGTCGTCCAGGAGATCGGCGGAAAGGAAGAGCACCCTCAAGCTCCGCTCCTTCGCCAGCCTCTCTACCACCTCCTGCACGTCACCACGCCGCCGACGGCCAGCGAAGAGATGCATCACCACCATCACACGCTCGTCATCTCTCTTCGCCCGCCTCACTGTCTCCAGCCACTCCGCCACGCTGTAGCCCCTCGGGCTAGGCGGCGCGGCCCGGCAGCTGCACTGCTGCCCTAGCCAGTCGTCGTCGTAGCGGTGCTGCTGGGCGTCCTCAGGCTCGGCATCCCCGCGGCTGCCAGCCTCCAGCCCCCCGTCCTCGGGCGGCGGGGTGCGTGGCGCACCGCAGGCCGCGCCGTCGGCGGGAGCCGCGGCGCCCGCGAGCGCCCCCAAGCGTGCGCCTACGCCCAGCAGCGCCCTGCCGATGATCGCCATGTTGACCGTCATGAGCAGGTGCACGGAGTGCGAGCCGCCCATGGCCAGGCGATGGTAGCAGGGGGCTATCCAGCCCGTCGGCCCCACCCTGTCGCGCATACGCTGGCTGAGCTTACCCCACACCCAGCAGGCGCGGATCGGCGGGCATGCCTGCCACCTGGCCATCCAAGCGGGGACGCGGAGGCGGGTGAAGGCGTTGTCCTCGTCGAAAGCAGCCACTCCCCACTCGTCCGTCGGGACACACATGGAGGCGATGGCCGCCCCGCCGTGCATCCCGTGGTCGCCGCGCTGGTGAGGGCCCGCCCACACGTAGTTGCTGGCACACATCATCAGGACCTTCCGCTGCTTAGCGGGGTCCTTCTTAGGTACACAACTAAACCCGCAGTAGGCCTGGACATCGTTGGGGTCCTCGAACGTCCACATGTCCTTCGGCAGATCGGCCCGCATCAGGTAGCGGGCGTACTCGGACGTCGAGCCCCCCACGAAAGCGAAGCGTTCCTCCAGCTCCTCGAAGAGAACCCCGACTTGCCGCTGTAGTCCAGGACGTTCTGCTCGTCCGAATAGTACTGGCGCTCGCCGTCGGGCAGCGCCTCCAGCAGGTCCACGACCATGTCGTCCGGAGGTTCTGCCACCGCCGCTGCGCACATCATCACGTGCTTGCTCACACCCTTGCGCTCTCCAGTGTAGGCGTCCTGCGGTCCTCTGTCGCAGGCAAGATCCGTCCCTTGACCGCCTGTCGGGGCAAGCCCCCGGCAGTCGCGCTCGTACCGCGCTGCGTCCTGTAACGCATACTGCTGCACGAGCTGCCAGGCCAGCATCATCTCGTTGTCGCTCGCCTCGCGCTGGCCCGTTGGTCTCGCCTCCAGGGATCCGCGGTCCATCCCGTTCATGAGCTCGATGAGCCCACAGGCCCGACGCCACACCCGCATGCGTCGTGCCCAGCGCGTCCTCAACCTGCCTGAAGAGGAAGCTCCTTGTTGTGGCCGATGAGGTAGAGGTATGGGAAAGAACGACCTGGCCTCGGCCTCCTTCCACTGCAAGGCCTGCGTCAGCGAGCCTGACAAACCCGTCACTGGCATTCTAGGCTGCACCCGCGGCGGCGGGGCACCTGCTCGGACCGAGGGCGGGTCGTAAGCCCCTCGGTCCGCCAGTGACCGTCAGGCCTGGGGTTTGCCCCGGCCCGAGGGCTTACCCCCTCGGCCGCGGCCGCGCCCCCCGCCATCGCCACCTCGGCCTCGGCCGCCGCTGGCTACCTCGCTGCCGCCCCCCGCTACACCTCCTTGGCCCCCGCCACGGCCGCCGCCTCGACCCTCGCGCTTGATGGCGGCGTGGACCCTCTCATCGCGCTGGTGCTCCGCCTGGCTGTGGGTCGTGGCCTCGGTCACCAGCCATGTCGGAGCCAAGTCGGCGGCTGACCCGGGCGGGCGGACAGCCACCATGGCCGCCCCCCCAACCTTGTCCTTCGTCCGCATCTCGTAGACGTAGCTCGCCAGCCGCCTCAGGTGCAGCTCCAGCGCATCGTCGGACGCCAACCGTGTGAGCAGCTCGGACTGGTTCGCGCAACCGCCCAGCAAGTAGTCCACGTTGGTGGCGGCAGTCCACAGGTCGGTCCAGGCCGCCGTGTGTCGCTGGCCCGTCACCTCCTGCGACAGCCAGTCCCGCGCGCTGGCCGCCCCCGCGCCCCGTATGTTTGGAGTCCCCAAACGGTGCGGTGACGGACCGTGCGGTGACCTCGAAATCCCCCCAGACCTCACCGCACGGTCCGTCACCGCACGGTTTTGGGACCTCGGAGGCCCCCGTCGCCCGAGACGTCCTCGGAGAACGACCCGAGTCCCAAAACCGTGCGGTGAGCCCGAATCCCCACCGACTCACCGCACGGCGTGGTCACCGCACCGTTTGGGGGCCCCCGAGTATGGTGCGGTAGATCTCCGGCGCTGCGCGCCGCAGCTCCGGCGGGAGGCTCAGGTTCCATCGACTGTCCTCCTGATGCTGCTGGGTCTGCGGGGCCACGGCCCACCCAGGGGAGGCGTGCATGCCCCCGCCGTGAGGCGCCGTAGGGGAGGCGACCAGCGCGTCCAGCTCCTGCTGCAACGACTCTCCTGGCGGGGACGTCGTCCCCGCGCCCACGTAGCCGTGAGTCTGCAGCACTCGTCGTAGGTCAGGGTGCAGCCCCCTGGCGCCATCCACGGCCGCGATCCTCTCCCAGAAGTGCCAGGCCCAGTCCTCGTTGATGGCCGCCTGCGCCTGGAACTCGCGCAGCGTGGCGCCCACTATCTCCACCTCCCGTCCTAGCTGCACCGCATCTGCAGGAGCGTGGGGAACGTGGAAGCTGAGCCCCGAAGCTGGGACGGCCACCTCTGGTGTCGGCTGTGGCTGCTGCTGCTGCTGCTGCTGCATGGCCGCTGTCTGGCTGGAGGGGCCCGGCACCTCGCACCCCTGGGCGAACGCCCGCAGCGCCGACAGGTCCTGCGCGCCAGGCTTCCCCACAGCGGTACCCGCGCCTGCGCCCTCGGCGGGTGGGGCCCACGGCGGAGGCGGCAGTGCTGCAAGCCCCGGCGGGTGCAGCGGGCCCGCAGGTTCCTCCGCGGCCTCGGCGGCGGTCCGGTCCAGGCCGTCCCCGCCGCGCCTCCGCGCCGCGGCGAAAGCCGAACGCCGCCGACAGCGTGTCCACCAGGCGACCACCCGCTCGGGCACCCGCCGTACCAGCAGGACGGTCCCGACCAGCCCTACAGCCCCGCCAGCCAGGCGGTGACGCACTGAGTCGGCCCCCAGCACCACCGCCAGGCTCGACAGGAAGAGACCTATGCCAAGGTGCAGCACCCAGTCGACGGGCAGCGTGTTCCCGTCGGCCCCCACCGCTCGGGCCCAGATCCGATCCGCGATCGTCTCCCAGCCATCGGCGTCGGCCGCCACTCGTCTGATCCGACCCTCCGTCTGCGTGGCGAAAGTGGCGGCCTCTGTGAACCCCCAGAGGGCCTCGGCCATCGCGGAGCCTGGCACCTCGGGGTTCCCCGACGCCAGGCGGACGGCCACCGGGTCCAGCGCCGCCTCCAGGCGCCGTGCCTCGTCCCGCTTGGAACGGGGGGCTCGCCCTGCGCTCAGCGTCGACCTCACCTTCAGGACGAGCTCGGCGACGTCGTCGTCTGTGACGTCGGCACCCCCGCCCCGCAGCGCCTCGGCCCCCGCCTTCTTGGCGTCTGCAGACACGGCCATCCAGCTCTGCCTGGCGTCCGCCGCGCCGCAGGCCCACAGCGCCCAGCACACCAGCTCGCCGCGGCCTGCTGCTCCTGGGCTGCTCGCCGCGGCCTCGCACAATCTTCGATTCCACGGGTGGAGCCGCTGCTCCCGTCAGGGCGCCATGCCGCGCCCTGCTGCGAGGTGGGCTGGGCGCCCAGGCCTCGCGATAATCTGTACCAGATTGGAGCCATATGGTACGGTTGCGGAGCAGGCCGTGCCGCACACGCGAGGGCAGGGGGGCCTTCACGGGCAACCAAAACACAACCTACCGAGCCCACCCGTTTTGGAGGGCCGAGGGGAGCCAGGCCGGGAACGAGGCCCACCGGCGAAAAGGCCCCCCAACAAGCTGGCACGCCCCTGCGGGCTCCGAGGCTCCAAGGAAAATTCCACGATCCCACCCCAAACTGTCGGTGCACATCAACACTCATGCTCTACGATTATTATCCCATCGTCATCATCAGCAGCGTCATCATCAGCATCATCATCAGCAGCAGCATCATCGTTATCAGCAGCATCATAATCAGCATCATCATCCTCATCATCATCATCATCATCATCATCATCATCATCATCATCATCATCATCATCATCATCACCATCAGGATCATCAGCATCATCGTCATCATCATAATAATCAGCAGCAGCATCATCAATATCATCGTCATCATCATCAGCGTCATCATCAGCATCATCATCAGCAGCAGCATCATCGTTATCAGCAGCATCATCAGCAGCATCATCAACATCACCAACATCATCGTCAGCAGCATCATCAACAACAACATAATCATCGTCAGCATCATCGTCCGCATCATCAGCAGCGTCATCGGCATCAGTACCAGCTTCATCAGCATCAACAACAACATCACATTCACCGCCAACAGCAACAACCACAATCACAACAGCAGCACCACAGCAACGACGACGACAAAAAAGCAGCAACAGCAACAGCGACGACGACGACAGCAGCAATTACAGTAGCAGTAGCAACAGCAGCAGCAGCAACAGCAGCAGCAAGAGCAAAAGCAGCAGCAACAACAACAGCAACAGCAGCGACAACAGCATCAACCTCATCACCAACGTCATCATCAGCATCAGCATCATCATCGTCATCACCATAATCAGCGTACGCATCGTCAGCATACGCAGCATCACAGCAGCACCACCATCGTCATCATCACCCCCAGTGGACTCGTCATTATCATCATCAACAGCATCAGTGTCATCATCATGAGCAGCATCAGCACAATCAAGATCAGCAGCAACACAAGCATCATCATCACCATCGTAGTCATCGTCACCAGCAGCATCAGCATCAGCATCAGCAGCAGCATCAGCAGCATCATCAGCATCATCACAGTCGGCATCAGCATAATCATCATCATCATCATCCTCATCGTCATCCTCATCATCGTCATGATCGTCGTCAGCATCGCCATCATTATCACCAGCATCATCGTTATCATCATCATAATCGGCAGCATCATCATCAGCATCAGCACCATCGGCAGCATCATCACCACCACAAGTATCATCATCAGCAGCGGAAGCAGCATCAGCATCGGCATCAGCATCATCAGCATCAGCATCATCATCATCATTATCGTTCTCATCATGATCACCTCTGTTGATTCGTCCTCAGCGCCATTCGCTCAGCTACGACCCTTCTCCTCATTCTCCTCCTCCTCCTCCTCCTGCTCTTCATCGTCCTCCGCCTTGTACTCCTCCTCTTCCTCCCCTTCCTCCTCCTCCTCCTCCTCATCATCATCCTCCTGCTCATCCTGCTCCTCCTCCTCATCATCATCCGTCCTCTAGGGACGGCAAGTACCACATATGACGGTCTTCCTCCTCCTCCTCGTCTTCCTCCTCCTCCTCCACCTCTTCCCCTCGTCCACCTGCTTGTTCTCGTCCACCTACTCTTCGTCCTCCTGCTTCTGGGACGGCCAGTGTCACGTGTGACAAAGTTCCTCGTCAACCCCTCTTGCATTATAAATGACGCACCACGTGACGTGTCTGTAGGGTGTTAGACATCTTCACTAGTGGCCACCTACAAGCTAAAACCACCCAACAGGTTCACGGATCAAGAGGAAGTCCTTCCGCTAAATGGGACTCTCGCAAATTTCGTCTTACAAGGTTCCAACACTTGCAAGGATTCTGGGCCACTTGTTTTTGTTTGAAAATTCGTCTCTCGGTGTTGCGCCGCGCACATTCGTCTTCACACCCTGCGACAATTGCAGGGATGATGTCAGACCGTGTTCACAATGCGCCTCTCGCCTAAGCGTCACGCGCACTCGTAGAGGCTAGCACGCTCAAATTGCGGCTCTCGCCTTGGCGCCGCGAACAGTCGCCTGAAACTATTGCATCAGCTGCACGGGTGGGGGTGGTCAGTTTCATGAAACCCTGGCGGCAGAAGACCCTGGACAGTGCACGCGGGCTGCGGGAGACAATGCGGAAGACCACACGGTAGACCATACGGAAGGCCACACGGCAGACCCGGGAGACGAGGCGGGAGACCAGACGGGACACCACGCGCCACAAGCCAGCGTTTCCAGACCCACAGGAGCTCTCACATGCCTTGGATCAAAAACTGCTGCACCCCGCAGAATGGCAGGTCCAGATGGTGTTCGTCTTTCAGAGGGGCGCTCCTTGCAATGAAAAGGAGCTCGTGCAAGGATTTATGAGGAGGGGCCTCGTCCTCCTCCTCCTCCTGCTCCTCCTCCTCCTCCTCCTCCTCCTCCTCCTCCTCCTCCTCCTCCTCCTCCTCCTCCTCCTCCTCCTCCTTCTCCTCCTCCTCCCCCCTCTTCTCCTCCTCTCCTCCACCACCTCCCCTCCGCCGCCTCCTCCTCCTCCTCCTACTTCTCCTCCTCCTCCCCCCTCTTCTCCTCCTCTCCTCCACCACCTCCCTTCCGCCGCCGCCTCCTCCTTCCTCCTCTCCTCCTCCTCCTCCCTCCTCCTCCTCCTCCTCTCCTCCTCCTCCTCCTCCTCCTCCTCCTCCTCCTCCCTCCTCCTCCTCCTCCTCCTGCTCCTCCGCCTCCTCCTCCTCCTCCTCCTCCGCATCCCCGCCGGGGGCGACCAGAGCGACACGTGGCTTGCCACCTCGGCGATATGCTCGCGCAGTGGTCGGCACGCAGAGAGTTCTGCGCTGGCACGGCGGCGGGACGTGCCAGCAGGCGGCTGGATACTCCTTGTCGTCCACCACGACGGAGGTGTGGTACGCTCTTATTTGGGGGAACGAAGAATGTCATGAACATAAAAACTCAGAGGTCCGCGCGGATTTGTCGGATTGGCGCTGGACCCCCTTCCCTGGCGCGCGGAACGCGCGAGGGGCGGCGCCGGAGGCGCCTCCAGGGGGGGAGTCCACCGCGGATCCGAGAAATCCGCGCGGACCTCCGAATTTCTATGTTCATGCCATGCTTCGTTCCCCTATTATTCCTGGCACGCTCGGCCCCAGAACCGTAGCGGCAAGCTCGACAGTGTGGCCCGCCCTGTACAGCGTCTGGAAAGCGGCAGGCCTCCTCTCCGAGGACGGGGCCTGCGGGTGCACTTGCGTGCGCGCACGGGAACCACAAAATTTGACACGGGCCGTTGCAGCAGATCGTATCCGACTCGGTGAAACAAAAGATTCTCTGCTTGCGAAAGTGTACCGACTGAGCGCAGGCACGTTGACCAAGCTAGAAGTTGGAAAGGAGGGGGATGGAAGGACGGACAAAAAAAGGGGGCAGCAGCATGGAACAGTATACCCCGAATGGTGGCACAACAGTGAATAGCTCCGCATGGCACAAAAAAACACCGCATACGATACCATCGCATACTGCAACATGAACACAAAACCAGGAAGATCGGGCGGATAGACCCTGGCGGGCGGGTGAAGAAGGCACGCCCAAGCGGCCATGTCGAGCAGGCGGGATGCTGAAGCGTGAGTGCATCACGAATCGCAAAGAGATCTCGAGCGATAGCGCGATTCCCAAGTGAATCGAGAGAAAGACAAGAGCGATTCCTGAGCGTCGGCGGCGCGGCGTCTGAATAAATTGCATGGAGTCCCACGCGAGAGCGCGATACCAGCATCAGCTGTGAAGAGGTCCCACTCGAAAGCGCGATTCTGAGCTAAACTGTATGGAAGTATCAGGCGGGAACCGTTGATGCTGTCAACCCGGGGCCAGAGGTCCAGTTTAGAAACCCCGCCCTTCCCATTGTAGAAAATGGGGTGCGAGCACTGGGAGAGGCACTTCAATTGTATCATACTCACCGGGCAGCGGGATCTACAATAACTATTCTTTTCTTTAGAAATAAAAACTCGGCGACTACAACAACAACCACAACTACCACAACAACCACCACAACCACAACCACATCAACAACAAAAGGCAGCAACAACAACACAGAAAAAGCAACCTCCAACACAACCACCACAATCAAAAACAACAAACCAAAACATCAACAACAAAGATGGGGATCCTCCCTGTGCCCCTTTGCTTATATATATAAGATATATATATAATAATAATAATAATAATAATAATAATAATAATATATAAAAAAAGAGAAAAAGAAAAAAAAAAAAAAAAAAAAAAAAAAAAAAAATCAGAGGTGGGTCCTTCCTTCAGGCCATGCTGCAGAGTCTGCACCAGCGAAGCTCTGGAATCCTATGGGAATCCGATGGGAATCCTATGGGAATCCTATAGGAATCCTAAGAATCTTAAGAATCTTGTAGGAATCCTGAAAAATCCTTGGGAATCCAATGGGAATCCTAGGAATCCTCTTGGAATCCTAGGAATCCGATGGGAATCCTATGGGAATCCTATGGGAATCCTAGGAATCCAAAAGGAATCCTAAGAGTCCGATGGGAATCCTATGGGAATCCTATGGGAATCCTACGAATCCTGTGGGAATCCTATGAGAATCCTATGGGAATCATACGAATCCTATGGGAATCCTATGGGAATCGTATGAATTCTATACGAATCCTATACGAATCCTATAGGAATCTTCTGTAGGTCGTATTTGGATCCTGGAGGAATCCTACGGGTAAATGATCAAGCCTCTGGGAGTCCTATGGGAATCCTACGAGT